TGTGTGTGTGTGTGTGTGTGTGTGTGTGTGTGTGTGTGTGTGTGTGTAGGGGGAGGTGAGTGTGGGTGAGTGTGCTGACGTGCATGTTTGTACTAGAATTCAGTGCAAACCAGAGAGGAGTTAAGCTAGTGGTATTTCTTTTTTCACATCTCTTTGGCATCACTCAGGGACACGTGCTCTGCCAGGGCTTCCTAAAGAAGGTGCATTCACACCAAAAGAGTATCACTTACAGCTGATGTCAAAAGCGGCCAGATGTGTGGGCTATGGGAGCTGCTTCCTAGGCACTGCGGTCTGCACGGGGCGCCCCTCAACTGTGTGGGTATCCCTTCCCTTCTTTATTTTAGGATGTGCGGAGCCAGGCTGAGCAATTTTAGCCCAAAGTAATGCTGGTCATCAGAAACACAGCTGCATCAGCGGAACAACTAATGTCAACTGTGTGGGCTGCCCTCCGCTTATCTTTTTTACAGTAACCGTTGAGGTAAGGAGTTATTAGCACCCCTGGTTCACGGGTGGGGAAACTGAGGCAGGGAGCAATTAAGAAACTTGACCCAAATCACACAGCTGGCAGACGGCAGCTGCTACTCGGGTAGACCATCTTGTCTTTGACCAATGGTCACATAGCCCGCTGGCTCTTGGAAACTATGATGATGCAGTTATACATGTGGAAATGCGGTTAACATCATATTCTACCAGTCTGCCAACCACCACAATGAGCAAGAGGAGAGAGAAAGAGAAAGCTGGGAAATTAAACACAATGGTTGAGATTTTCAACAAAAGCGCCACAGCCATTCAATGGGGGAAAAAGTCATTTTTTTGTTCGTTTTCAACAAACGTTCCTGGGACAGTTGGATATCCACATGCAAAAAAGATTAATTTACACCCTTATCTCATCATATACAAAATTATGTACCATATACAGAAATTAAAGTGATCACAGACCTTAAGGTAAGGTCTAAAGCTATAGATGCCTGGAAGGAAACAACTGTATCTTCATGACTTCAGGTTAGGCAAAGATTCTTAGATATAACACCAAAAGCACAAGCAATACAAGAAATTGATAAGTGTGGCATCATCAGTATTAAAAACCTCTGCACTTCAGAAGACATCGTTAATAAGTGAAAACACAAGACAAGGACTGGAAGGAAATACCTGCAAATCACATATCCAACAAAAGACTTGAATCAGTTTGTATAAACAGCTCTTACAATAATAAGAAGACAAACAATCCAATTTAAAAATGGGCAGGGACTTCCCTGGTGGTGCAGTGGATAAGAATCCGCCTGCCAATGCAGGGGACACCGGTTCGGGCCCTGGTCCAGGAAGATCTCACAAGCCGCGGAACAACAAAGCCCATGTGACACAACTACTGAGCCCTCATGCCGCATTTACTGAAGCCCGCGTGCCTAGAGCCCGTGCTCCACAGCAAGAGAAGCCACCGCAATAAGAAGCCCGCGCACCACAAGGAAGAGTAGCCACCGCTCAACACAATCTAGAAAAAGCCTGCGCACAGCAACGAAGACCCAATGCAGCCAAAAATAAATAAATAAATAACTAAATTTATAAAAATAGGCAAAAGGTTGAAATAAACACATCACCAAAGAAGATTTACGTATGGCTAATAAAGCCCATAAAAAGATGTTCAACACCAACACTCATCAGGGAAACGCAAAATGAAGATACCACTTCACACCCACTAGGATGGCTACAATGAAAAAGACAGGCAATGACAAGACTTGGTGAGGACGTGGGGACATCGGAACCCTCACATGCTGCTGGTGGGGATGCAAAATGGCGCAGCCGCTCTGGAAAACAGTTTGGCAGTTCTATAAGATGGTAAACGTAGATCTACCGTATGACCCAGCAATTGTACTCCACCAAGAAACAGAAGTGCAGAAACTGAGTAACCGTCCCAGCTCACAGGGAGGAGCTGGGTTGGAATCTGGGTCCCAAAGGTCAGAGATTGAGCTTTTCCCACCCCCGGGAATGGCCACAGGGGTGTCCAAACAGGTGAGGAGAGGGAGAGCGCTGTGAATGTCTCTTCACCTGTAGAGAATGGGGAAACTTGCACCCCGGGATCCAAGGTCTATTTTTGGGCCTGGAGCCACTGGCTCACGCCCCATGTTAACTGGTGACAATGAGCAAAACCTGCACGAGCCTCTCCCACTCTGGAGGGCCCCCACCCACTCGGTCACCCGTTACACCCTGAGCCAGGCCCGTTGGGGTGGGCGCCCCACTGCTGCCCAGGTGGTTTTCCTGGAGACACGCAAATAGATGAAGACCTGAAACATTTGGGTGGTGATCTTAGGGATAAAGCCCGGAAATGAGAGTCAGCTCCCTCGTTCAGGAACTGAAATCCCTGTACCAACTGGCAGAGGCACCCTTGCCCTCTGCCCATGTCCCCAGCTGCCCCATGCCCTCACCTCCAAGCCCTTCCTTGCGCACTGACTTGAGACCAGTGTTCTGAGTGTCGGGGTTCTCTCTCGGGCCTTCTGACCTTGCTCCCCCGAAGCGGGACGGGCTGGCCTGTGCTGGCTGCCTTCAACCCCTCGGGAAGCTGCAGCCCTCTCCTTACAGAAGCTCCACTCAGAGCGGCAGATGGGAAGGACACTGGGCCCATTCTCCTCTCACCCTCTGCGTCCCCGGTGCGTGGAGCCAGCCCGCGGCGGTCACCTGGGTAGTGGCTCAGATCACTTTTCAGCCGAGGCAGACCCCCTCCCAGGCCACGAGGAAGGGCCAGACCCGCAGCAGCCCTCCTGCCTTCTGATCCCTCAATGGAGGCTCCAGGGTACCCCAGGCCGAGGAAGAAAGGTGACCACGAAGGAGGCTGGGTGGCGCCCAAACCAGGGGCTCCAATGCCAGGTGGACCGGACTCCGGTCGAAGGGTCTCACCTGAGCCTCCTAACCAGGCTCCCTGTCACCACCCCCGTTCCACCCCACCTGACTCCTCCTCCCCAGCACTATGGCTACAGCCACTGTTCTAACTCGGCCACCTGTGTCACTTGAGCATCTGCAACTGCAACGGGCCCCGTGCAGTCGGCACCAGCAAGTCTCCAAGCATAGCCAGAGGCCACCTGCCTCACGGGTTGCCTGAACTGCTAGTTAAGATGCAGATTTGGCGGCCCGCCCCAGACCGATCCCACCTCTGCCTCAGTGGGGAGGGGCCCAGAAATGCGCTCAGTTAACCATCTCACCAAAGTCGGTCGGGCAGTCCCTGGCCGACAGGCTTGGGAACATTCCAGCAGCTCAGGATCCGGCCCCCCTTCCCCAGCCGGGCATCCCAAATGCCCCTGACCCAGGTCCAACACCTTCGCTGTGCTCGTGCCCGTCCTTCTTCCTCAAAGAGAGCCCCCCTCATCCTACCCACCCACCTCTCCCCAGCCCTGTTCTGGTTCTTCCTCCCTGACAAGGCCGCCCCTGATTTCCGCAGCAACAGGAAAATGCTCCCGTTTTTCTCCGGGGCCCACAGATTCAACGCCCCAGGGACACAGTTTAGCACATTTTCTTTTGAAACATTTAAAAATAGCTATAAAAGGGCTCCTAGAGCTGCCCTGGTGGCGCAGTGGTTGAGAGTCCGCCTGCCGATGCAGGGGACGTGGGTTCGTGCCCCGGTCCGGGAAGATCCCACATGCCGCGGAGCGGCTGGGCCCGTGAGCCATGGCCGCTGAGCCTGCGCGTCCGGAGCCTGCGCTCCGCAACGGGAGAGGCCACAACAGTGAGAGGCCCGCGTATCGCCAAAAAAAAAAAAAAAAGGGCTCCCAATTAGCTGGCATGGCCAGAGAGAACATTTCCATATAAGTAAAGCTTACTCTTTCATGTGTAAAGTTAAACATTTCTCTGTCTCCTGAGAGCACACAGAAGGGATATAATTTGACCTTCTTACAACTCTGGATTATCTTTAGAACTATAATATAGAGAATCCCTCGAGGGCTTTTAAGATATATAGGACCCCCACTAAAAAAATCATGTGTATGTATATATGACAGAGTTCCTCTAAACTAAATGAGCCCTGAGTATAATTCGGAGTTTTTAAGCGTGCTTCTTATAGCTTCCTCCGTAGTTGTAACTTTCTGTGTGTGTGTCTGACAGCACCCTATCCCCCTTTTCTCATACGGCTTCTAAACTGCTATGACGTGGGACCCGCACAAAGCAGTGTCTTAAAGGTGTGTCTAACGCCAGAAGAGCAGAGGCTGGGGCCCCGGCGGGCTTCCCATGAGGCAAGCACACGAGCGCCTGAATCCAGGGCCTCCAGCTCTGGATGCGACGCCCCCGGCACTCAATCACCCACAGGGAGATGGAAAACCAGCCGTGCTGCTGGCATGCAAGCCTTCAGCTCAGATGTTTCACAGGCTTGAACCCCTGGCCAAATCTAACAAGGCCAAGCATACTGGGAAAACATCTACAACCCACACGTGGGTCCCCACATCTGACCCTGCAAGTGCCAAGCAGAGAATGTAGCTCCGAAGGAGCAAAGCTGGAGACGAGAGGGTCCGAGCCGGCTGTGAACTCAGTCGGCAGAGACCGTGGTCACCAAAAGAGCCAATGCGATCGTTACCTGTGTTGCTAGAAACGCCTAAAACAAGCAGGGTAATGGTCCAGCCCAGCCCCTGCACAGGTGAGACTCACCTGGACATTCCCGGCCGCAACGTGAAAGAGGCACTTGGAGGAACACCCACCCTGTTCCCACCCCATGGGATGCGTGAAGATCAAACGGGATGGCCTGCAAGTTTTAAAATCAAAATACAACTATCGAAATTTTTAGGGGGACTTCCCTGGTGGTCCAGGGGTTAAGACTCCACGCTTCCAATCCCTGGTCGGGGAACTAAGATCTCACATGCCACGCGGTGCGGCAAAAAACAAAAAAGAAAGAAAAGAAATTAGAATTCACCTAATGAGAAATACACACTAAATGAGAACTACACTTTTACTAAATAAGGAGAAAATCTGAGTAAGGGAGAGGTATGTCTTCCCAGATACGGTTC